TCGGGTCTTGCTGTATTTTCACTTCGATAGGTCTCGGATCTTGTTGTTGTACGATGTGTTCTAGCGTGTCTTGTGGTTGCTGTGAATCTCGGCTAGGTGTTGTATTGATAGGACTTGGATCTCGGTATTGTTGTAACTTTGGTGCTTTAGTAGATTTCGGATCTTGTTGTATTTTCACTTTGATAGGTCTCGGATCTTGCTGTATTTTCTCTCTGATAGGCCTTGGATCTCGCTGTATTTTCACTTTGGTAGGTCTTGGATCTTGTTGTTGTACGCCGTGTTCTAGCGTATCTTGTAGTTGCTGCTGCTGCCGTTGTCGATTAACTTGCTGCTGTTGCTGTTGATTAGTCTGCTGTTGTGGCTGTCGTTGTTGCTTAACTTGCTGCTCTTGTTGTTGATTAGTCTGCTGCTGTTGCTGTCGTTGTTGTTTAACTTGCTGCTGTTGCTGTTGCTTAGTCTGCTGTTGTGGCTGTCGTTGTTGATTAACTTGCTGCTGTTGTTCTTCGACGGCTATGGATTGCAGTAGTTTTTGTTTTTGCTTAAAGAATCTAGACGGGATAAAAAACTTTAGAAAATCAACCTTGAAATGTGTCCAGTACTGCCAACGACAATTGTTGTTGCGATACCATATTAGTGCATTATTTTCGAGAAGTAAGGGCATTGTGCGTGGAATTAAGTTTACATCGATGCTATACTTGTCTGCCAGTTCTTCTATGTGTTCGATGAAACTCAATGGATCCTCACCACCGTCATATCTGAAGCACCATTTTTCCACATGTTCTATTGTTTGAATGGATGAGCGCATTGTAGGACTCATATCTGCCCCTTTGTATTCCTCGTGTGATATACGTTGATATATATTTTTTTTCCTTCCAGAGTTCTTAAATTCGTTTCATTCGAGTTAAGACTTCTGTGATGCGACCAACCAGGTTCGTGCTAAAATCGGATCCTCCTTACTCATTATTATATCACGAAGTTTTCTACGTTGTATTCAGGGTCCCTGCTCGGGCGCCACTTGTAAAGAACCTTTTTTTCTTAAGCCGGGGTTTTTCTCGCCGGATCCCAGAGTCGTTACAAGAATATTTTTTTCTCTGTAACCCTGAATCTTCTCGTAATTAAAAAACGGGCTATTTTCGTTAGTTTCGTGGTTTTTATTATTTTTCTCAAAATAAATTTATTACAATATTTATAGTTATACTTAAGTACTAATGATATTTTATTGTAATTATAAATACGGACAATTAATATAACTCCTGTAAATAAGAGAACACAAAAGAATGACTAAAGGTAGGCTAGGAGACAACACTACCGACAGGGCTGTGTTGCTAGGTTCAGTGTTACCGACTGGGCTACACTGTGGGATTAGGAAACAACACTACCGACAGGGCTGTGTTGCTAGGTTCAGTGTTACCGACTGGGCTACACTGTGGGATTAGGTAACAACACTACCGATAGGGCTGTGTTGCTAGGTTCAGTGTTACCGACTGGGCTACACTGTGGGATTAGGAAACAACACTACCGATAGGGCTGTGTTGCTAGGAATCAGTTCTATGACTTAATAATTACCTCTGTGATTACCTTGTGAAGTGTTCTGCTTCACGACCTGTGATTGAACCTCTGGTGATGTGCACTGTTCGAAGTGCTGTGGCCAAGTCCCTCTGGTGATGTGCACTGCTCGAAGTGCTGTGGCCAAGTCCCTGTGTTTTTCTTTGCTTCTCCTTTTATACGGATTTTATATAACGGGATAACTGACTTCTGAGTGCATACTGTGTAGCTTTCTTTTAAGTTGTTATTGCCTGCTACTGATCTCGCTATGTTCTGCTGTTGTTGTTTGCTGCATATTTATTATTAAAGTTTGGCAAAATAATTACCCTCAAAGAAATCGGAAGTATTATTACTTAATTTGTATTTTCAAGAGATTTATTGTTTCTTTTAATTTTGATAACTAAATTCTATGATAATTTATAATTACTTATTACTATCTTACTTTCTAAAATAATTCCTTTTACTTTATTAATACTTTATATATTTTTTTCATAGCTTAGACTAATATTTTTTCCGTGGGTTTGGTTTTACTAATAATAGTTTAATTCTATTGTTTTGTTTGTTTACAATAATAATAATAACTTCATGCTATATATATAATTTTTTTCGACTGAAAATAGTTTAATTCTGTTGTTGGGTTTTTTTATTTGTTTACTACAATAACTTCATGCTATTTTCAACTATCATAATTTATTTGTGACGTGTTGGAAAAAATCGTCACAGTATATACAAAACTGGACAAGGTGTACAACATCATCAACAACAACAGGGCGGTTTTGAAGCACCACTCGTACACAAACAATTCTTTACTATTTCTGCACCTGAGGATCATGATTCTTTAGATCGTTCCAAACACTTTGTTATTGGACGTCCACAAAAGAACTATCGTGTTGTATTTATTAAGGCACCATCATCAAGCAGCGCTAATGTTAAACTTTCTGCTGAATACGCACCTAAAGAAGAGAAAACAGTCATTTATGTATTGTCCAAAAAGGATTCAGCTTTGGAGGTTAACGACATTGCCACACCAGCACCAACTGTTCCCAGCAAGCCAGAAGTATTCTTCATTAAATACAAAACTGAAGATGAAGCTACACATGCTCAAAAACAAATTCAAGGTATTATAAATATTTTTATGGACATTATTACTAAAAATACTTTACTAACTTTTTTTTTCTCTGTATAAATTAGCTGAATATGACAAAATTGAGGGTACCTCTGAACATGCCGACGGTGGTGTGGGACAAGTACAATCAGTTATTGGATCCTTGGGCGGTGGCAGTGATTTTGGTGCTAGTTCTACCAATGTACACCAAACCAGTGGTAGTATTGGTGGTTTTTCAGGTGTTGGTAGCAGCGGTGTTGGCACTGGTGGTTTCTCTGGAATTGGAAGCAGTGGTGTGGGTACTGGTGGTTTCTCTGGAATTGGTAGCAGTGGTGTTGGTACTGGTGGCTTTTCTGGTATTAGTACCAGTAGTATTGGCACTGGCGGCTTTTCTGGAATTGGTAGCAGTATTAGTAGTGGATCTGGAAGCGCACAAGGCAATACATACTTGCCACCATCCAATTAGGAATTTAATGAACCTAACACTTTTTAAGCAAGGCACAAAAGTATTATTATAACCACACAATTTTTGTTTTTTTGTTTATTGAACGAATATATAATAAAATTTATACTATAAACGAAATAAGATTCTAGTTTAAAAATTTTTATAAACATGGATTAACTTTCAGGAGTTTTTGACTTTAACTTTGTAGCCAATATCTCAACGTACGTACCATCAATAATATATTCTTTAATAATCATAATATAATATAATCGTAATAATATTTATATTAAATAATATTTAATAATCGTAAAAATACTTTCGTATTTTTAACAAGACTACAATCATTATTCATCACCAAGTACTATTTTAACTTTGTAGCCGATATCTCAACGTACCATCAATAATATATTATCGTCAATAATATTTAATAATCGTAAAAATACTTTCGTATTATTAAGAAGGCAACGAGCTTTATTCAACACCAACTAATGGTTCCATGAACCAAACTTGTTAATACTGTAACTGCCATCTGTCCTTACAATCAAGTGCCTCTCACCACTCCTAATTGAGCTATTGGGTTAGTGATCAATAATCACTAACAACTATAATTTTTTAAACAAAATAATAAACCCATTTAGTGCAGCTGCATATAAAATACACAAAAAAAGTCATTCTAAGAAAATTATTCTTTACTCTTTCATTTAATGTAATAGTTTTTCTTCCCTTTATAATAAAAAAAAGTAAAAATATTTACATAATCTTATTTAGATCACTCACCAACTGACTTAATGGCTTGTTTTAATAACAAACTCGACTGGCTCTTATCTAATGTATCTATTTCACGGCACGTTCGATACAAACTCGAAATCATAGACTCCACAGTAGATGAACCGTCAAATGATGGCAACATTGATATGAAACGGTTTAATTCATTCAATTCTGCAAACAACAATAATGCAATAAATAAAAGCAAAAGCAGTTTTAAGAATTAGTGCACCCACCTTCATACTCATTATAAGTTTTATAATTCCATTCACCGCGCTTAATAACAAAATAATCGTTAGCCGCGTACTCATGCGCAAAATTACCACACGCCCACTCATATGTATCTCGACAGGAACTCTTACTGGTGTTAGCCCAAAGCAAAATTTGTTGACTGGCTTCTACACACTCTTTTTCCAAACAGACTTTCGCTTTGAAATAGAACGGCACTTCTGGCCAGGAAGCTATCAATACGATTATAATCACTATAAGTAAGGCACAAAAGCAGGCAGTCGTTATATATAAAATGCGACGTTTACGCGATAATCTCATTAACGCATCAACTGATAAACGTCCTGAAAGCAAAAAGTCTTTAACGAAAAATTCGTTGTACATTTATTAGTGCAATGGAGTGCTGATGGAAGACATTTATTTAAAGA